TGCCACCTGTTGGCAGCTCAGCAGCTGCTCAGCTTGGGCCGGGACTCGAACCGCTGTTGCTCAGAGCTCAAACTCTTGAGCGAGCTCTTAACCAACTGAGCCACTCAGCCGGCCCCATAAATTTTTATTAAAGGCTATTAGTGGCTTACTAAGGTGACTGACTTTTAAGTAGAAAATTCTGTCAGTGATACTGTTGATCTCCCAGTACCTTCTGGTACAAACTTCTAACTCTAGTTATCATAAAGTATATAATTAACAATATTTTTCAGCAATGGAAATGTGTGAAAATAAAAATTAGAAAAATAGAAATTTTCTCAAAGCAATAATTATTTCTCAAGTAATTTGACTCCCTTTATTTTAATAATAACCCCTAAATAAAAATTACATTGGTATTTAAATCCAGAATGCATATGCATGAGCTTAATTATTATTTTTCTAGCAGTAAAATAGAGCTATCAGACTATTCCCTACTTTTACAAAATTAGTAACACAAAAACAATGAACATAAATTTTTACCTGGCAACAACATACATTGAACTATTGCAGAATACAGCATTATCCTTTTAAAATTTCTAACTCATGATTACATTGAAATTTTTTAATTTATTGCACAAGTTAAAATTTGTCAACTGGTTGAACAAGCTAAACACACTGTCAGTATAGTACTCAACCAGTGACATGCTGCTATAAAACGTTGCCTTTATATATACATACGTATTTTAAAACTTGGGGGGAAAAGTCAGTGCTCAAAAAAAACCAACATAGACACTTTCTTTTACTATTGTAGGTAAATGAATTGGTGCAGGTAGAAACATACCTCCGAAGTGAAGGGGTGCTGGTTCGATACTGGTATCCTATTGACATGTTGGAGAGGCCCCCAGCCGGCTACCGAAGGACGGCCACCAATGGGCTGGTCACACTGGACAACACCAACCTGCAAATTCACAGGTAACTGAGCCCTTCTTTCTAGTGGATCACAGAAATCCACTTATGCTGCTTTACCACATGTGCCATTCATTGTTGACAAGAAGGCTTTTCCTTCAGAGCTAAGAGTTAGAAGGCAGCTTGTAAAGATAACAGCAGAATGGCAGGAGGTGGGGAGAAAAGTTGCGGTACCCAGTACCACCTGGCCTGTGCCACAGGCACCCTGCTGGTGAGGTGGAGGGTGGAGGGTGGCTGGAGATTTGAAGAGGGCAGAAAAGTTTTAAAGAGGAAAGCAAGTCAAGGAGAGCTGACCGAGAGGGCATCTAGGCAGCTAGTGAGCAGGCAGCTCATTTCTGCTAAGCTAACGAGGTTTTCCCTGAGGACCTGCTTGGTGCCTGGCGCTGCACAGCATCTCTAAGGAAGCAGGTACTCCCGATGCGTTCAAACCTAATTTTGTGACAATTTAGAGGAAAACGTAATAGTAAACGGTTCTCTGGTAAGTTTCCATGAACGATTTCTCATGATAGCCAATCATTAGCATCCCAGTTTCTCATTACGTTGCCGATTGTGAACCAACTTGAGAATATTTCCAGCCTAGACCTCGCTGGAATTCCAGGTACACGTGTCCACTGACTCCCTGTCATCTGCACTCAGATATAGGAATCACTCCATTTGCATGGTCTCAAATTCAATTTAACAATCAAATTCACAAGACCAAAATAGGCCACACTTGGCATTGGCTTCACTTAGAAAGGTACAGGCTCGGCAGCATGGCATGCCACAGGGCAGTGTCATGCCTGGTTTTTCAGTAGGAGTCATCATAGTCATCCACAGAGAGGTTCAGGGGCTGTTCTCTGACCCCACCCACCCAAGTGGCAATCCGGGTGTGAGGGATGGACGTCACGTGGCGGTGTTCCCATGGTGGCTGAGCAGCCCCGTGTCCCAAACAGAAGCCAGTAGCTTTTGTAACAATGCCACAGACATGACTTCTAGGCATTCCCACAAGAGTCACTGTGCTCCCGGAAGCCTCAAAGCCACATCCCACCGAGAATGTTCTTTCAAGTCAGATGTTCCTCCCAGGCCAGATGTGGCTTGCCAACTGAGAGTCATTGTGACCATAAGCAGTGTACCTGGTAGGATTGCTGACATTCTGCTTATGTCCGGTTTTCAGAAGAACGGAGCTGAAAACATGTTAACCAAACTCAATTCTTCAGGAGACGAGGAAGTTCTGTGGGCCCTTTACTCCCAGATCGTCACAGAGGCACCTAAAACGTAGCGTGTGGAGTAGAATCTGGATTTTCCCTAAACGCCCCCTTCACCCGTCTTTCCGTGTCCGTCAGGGGCATCACGTGTCACCCTGTTTCCTCACTGTCTGATGCAACCTACCAGCATGTCCTGTTGACTCTTCCTCCAAAATACACCCCCAGTGGGGCCAGCCGAGTGGCTCAGTTGGTTAAGAGCTCGCTCAAGAGTTTGAGCTCTGAGCAACAGCGGTTCGAGTCCAGCCCGAGCTGAGCAGCCGCTGAGCTGCCAACAGGTAGCAGGATGGCTCAGCTAAAAAAAAAAATAATAAAAAAATAAAAATAAAAAAGTAATAAATACACCCACAGTGTATTTGTCGCCACCACCCCACTGTCTCCCCACAACAACCAAAGTGCTCTTGTAGAAACATAAATCAGATTGTTCATGCCTCCTCTGAATCAGGCCTTCCCATGGCTTCCATTTCCCTTGGTGTGGAATTCAAACCCGCACCCTGGCTCATGAGACCCGCCGTGGGCCTCAGGGTCTGCTTCCTGAGCGTGCTCACAGTCAGTTGCGCTGGACTTTCTGTTAGGTGCACACACTGAGCTTGTTTCTCCCTCAGCACCTCTGGGCTTCCCTCTGCCGGGAATGCTTCGCCCAGAACTGTGCCTGGCTATCCCATTCTCATCATTCAGATCTCAGTGAATATGTCACCTTTCCAAAAAGGCTTTTCCTCACCGTCTCATCTAAAGTAAGCATGCAGCCACACATTGTTGTAACACTATTAGACTTCTCTTCCAGGACTTGATATTTTGCTTTAAAAAAAAAAATTATTGTGTGTCTCCTCCCTCTAGAATAGAAGCTTCCTAAAAGCAGAGACTTTGATTCTTTCCTAGAGCCCCCAGTTCCTGATCTGGGTCCTGGCTCATACTGTAGACTCAAAATAATTGTTAAAAAGGATCCCCAAACATATATACTTAAATATCAACATGATACTCTTAAAGGCTTTTAAAGCTTTATTAGCAAGTCTTTCAGCCGCGTCTTTAGCAAATGTCTCTGATAGATGATACCTACTGATGATTATCTAGTAACTGAGAGAAAGGGCAAGAAAATGCTTGGTAGGGTCTGTCAGACTACAAATGTAGGACATTTATTCTCAGTATAATGTGGTGATCTCGGTGTTGGGAGAAATACAAAACGTGCCACACCGTTTTGTTTGATCAGTCAAGTGATTCCTGGGTCCTAGTACGGATTTCCATCAGAGGTATACTGTCTAAAATCTTAGGTAGGTTTGAGAGAAAACTTTGGGAAACAAAGAGGTAGAGGGCTCGTCGGTGACCGGGTTGAAGCAGGGCTGCCTGGGACCCAGAATCTTCTCATTCCAGCCTTGTCCTGGCACCTTCAGCCTTGGGGCGTCTGGAAGGGCTTTCAGCTTTCGTACTCAGATGTCGTCTGCTTTGCTGCCCTGATCTCATGAGCTGTGCTTGTGCAGTCAACAGAAGGACTTCCGAGGACAAAGGGGATGGGTGGAAAGGTTTGTTTCAGATGCTGGCACAAGAATGTTACAAACTGGTAGCAGTGAGAAAGAAACCACTCAAAATGCAGCATCTTCGCTGTCTCTGCTTCTTGGCTGTACCCACTCATCTGGTGTCACATAAGGGTTGTTGTTTTTTTAAGTGCCATTATGCCCAAATCTGATTCAAGATAGACCAGCATTAAATTTAATTCAGGTCAGTAGGCAATATCAAATGACCCCTGTTGGCTCCGAGTGGGTTTTAGACCTAGACTTTCTAGAAACATTAGGGCTGCTTCTAACTTGCCCTTTTAGTTAAGTACTTAATGCCAGGAGAACTTTTAATTATGGCGATGAGCTAAGAAAATACAGGGAGTCTCTTTGGTATTAGCTAGATTCGATTCCTTACCAAGAGATGGCAATTCTGAATGAGACCTGCCTAGTCGCTAATGAGCTGTTATTCGAGGTGAATGCCAGTCACTTCATAATTTCATCACATTAAAAATGCCCACAGTGAATTTTTTATAATAGCTTTATTGAGATATAACTCACATACCATACAATTCACCCATTTTTTTTTAAAGATTTTTATTGGGGAATTGGGGGATGGGAACAGTGCTGGGGAATCGGGGAAAGGGGAACAGACAAGTTGCTGTCGTTTTGTTCTTCAGTCTAGTTGTGGAGGATGTTGTTTCACTGGCCCAAGTTGGCACCATCATTGCTCTCTTCTATGGCGAGATCAGTCGCCGGCTTCTGGACAGCCGCTCACTGCGGCTGCTGGCTACATACGGTAGCCCATGGCAACCCACTGCCACAGGGACTGCAGCCCACGCCGTCGCCGGCGACTCATGACAGCCCAGCCTCCAGGTGGAGCTGTTGTTCAGCATCTTAGCTGTAGAGGGCAGTGTCACTGGCCCTCATATGTGGGATCCGAACCGGGGCCCTCTGGCATCCCAAGCGAGTTCTTAACCATCGCGCCACTCGGCCGGCCCACAATTCACCCATTTAAACTATACAAATCAGTGGTTTCTAGCATATTCACAGAGTTCTGCAGCCATCACCATAATTAAGGAACATTTTCATCAGCCTAACAAGAAACCCAAGACCCATTATTAGTCAGTTTCTTTTCTCCTGTCCCCTGGCTCAACCACTAATATATTTCCTGTTTCTATGAATTTGCTTAACTCCAGACAATCTATGTAAATGGAATCATAGAATATGTGGCCCTTGTGTCTGGCTTCTTTCTCTTAGCATCGTGTTTTCGAGGTTCAGCCATGTTGTAGCGTGTCAGTGCGTCATCCCTTTTTCCTTTCCTGTTCTTCGCTGAATAATATTCCACTGTATAGATTTACCATTCCTCCACTGATGGACATTTGAGTAGTTTCCACTTTCTGGCTATTAAAAGTGCTGCTATGAACATACATTTACAAGTTTTTGTGTCAATATATGTTTTCATTTCTTTTTCTTTAGCAGCTTTTGAGTTAAAGTCCAAACATAACTAAACGTGGCTTTTTGCTTAAAACACAAGTGACTCACTTGAAGTACAGAGCATGGGGCCAGAGGAGAAGCCTGAGACATGGTCGTGTCCCTTCGGCACCTGCAGCCTGTCCAGGGAGGGGACCAGAGCACAGATGCTCAGTGGCCTCCCCGCCTTGTCCCTTACAGAGAGCTGCTACGCTGTGAAGCCGCACTGGCCAGGCTGTACTGCCGCCTGGCGCTGCTCAGCATCTTCGCCCCCAAGCTGCCCCACCTGTTCACCCGCCTCTTCCGCATCCCTGCCATCCGCGACATCACCCTGGAGCACCTACAGCTGCTGTCCAATCAGCTCCTCGCGCCTCCCCTCCCAGGTAAACTTCGGCTTCGTTGCTGGCACGGCAGGCAGAAGTCAGCAGCAGGGAGGGTAAGGCCTGAGAAGGGCCTGGACCCCACACGTGCTGGTCCTTAGTGTGCCCGTTGTCCATGTGGAGGGGCGGAGGGAGCCTCTGGGCAGGACAAGATGGTCTTGGCAGTGCCTTCTCCAGTTTTGGAAAATGTAGGTCCATCACTGACCTAAACCATTGATCCACTAAGCATTCATTGGGCTTCCCAAACTAATTGTGGATCTAGGAAAATTGTTATTTATGAAATCTAGCCACTGGACTGTTGCCACAGACGTTCCATTTGGCTTGTAAAGAAAAGAGTAGGTTCCTGTCATCAAACCCCTCCAGAGCAGACCCAATTGAGTCATTGTGACTTCAGGGGGAGCTGTTTTCACGGGCCAGCGTGTGTGTGTATGCTACCTTGGGGTGAGGGCTGATGCTGTGTGTTTGCTCCCCTGGTGAATACTAAGTGATAAAACTGCTTGATCAGTCCAAGACTGTAGGTTTCCCCACAACACACACCCCATCCCCCCATCTTCCTTGGGCACCTCGGCCTCCAGCCTGCCCCCCTTGACTTCCCAGCATCTGGGATGGGAGCAGTGGTGAGAGGGCAGGTGGCATTCGAAAGCTAGAGGACATCTCACAGCCGCGGGGTCCCAGCCAGTGTGAACTGGCCCACCCTGAGAACTGAGATTCTCCAAAACACACCCGGAGAGCTTTAAAGTGTTTGTGGAAGCAGCTTTGCCACTATGACCTTACACCTGCTTTACACACTCCACCGGGAGCCACCCTAGCGGTTCTGCGGTACAACTTGGGGTGGGCTGGGGCAGTAGGTCAGGCTCTGGGAACCCCTGGATCCAAGCAGCTCCACTCCGGTTTGGGCCTCCACTTAAGATCTTATTTTAGAAATTGTTCTGCTGCTCAAAAGAAAACCAAATTTAAAGGCCTCTGATCTGAATCCGTCCTGCCCCCAGGACCTGATTGGTAATGTCTGTTATCCTAGGCGTCATGTCCAGGCTAGCCCATCTGGGTATCTAGACAGTCCGCTCACTGTTGGTTACTTAGGCTCTCACAGCCGCTGGCTCTGGTTCCTTTCCTGTCCCCAGACGGCACCATCAGCTCCAGCTCCATCCTCCTGGCACAGTCGCTGCAGCATTGCGTCCGCTCCCAGAACTGCTCGGCCACAGACCTCTTCTACCAGGGCAGCTCCCAGACAGTGAGAGAGTGGCTCAACGTGGCCATCACGCGGACCCTCCACCAGGGCGAGGACAGCCTTTTGGAGCTGACAAAGCAGATCTGCTCTTTCCTGCAGGTAAAAGCCTAAAGCTCCGATGTCCCTGAACGGGGATTCCCATTTTTAATTGGATGGCTTAGGTGCTTGCTGAAAATGACACTCTTCCCCGTCTCCCCCCACGCCTTCCCCCGCCCCCGCATCATCTCTCTCTGATGCTCTCCTGCCTTGCCCCACCTGTAGTGTCCTTCCTCTGGAGGGTTTTCTTGTCCTCCTGAACCTGTGACAGCATACATGCGGGCGCTGTCCTTTGCCTGGGATCCGGGACGATGAAGTGCTCTCCTATGTTGAGCCTATGACTTTCCTTGTGAAATATCTCTTTGCAGACAGCACCCGAGCAGTTCCCCTCCGAAGAGTTTCCAGTGTCCGAGTCCAAAGTCAACATGGATGTTAATTTCCCTGGGGCGGCTTTCGTTGTTGTATCTTGCAAAGAGAGTCAGTCTGGATTCCGCAAGGAGTAAGTTGCCTAGTTCTCTCAAAGATGGTGAAGGGGAGAGAAAAGTAAAGTGGATTCTGGTGAAATTGACAGAAGGAAAACTCAAGTTGGTTTTTTTTTTTTCTTTCTGTAATGCTTATTGTATTTGAAAATAATTTACAGTTCTTCCCATATTCCCATGTTTGGGAAGTGAGTCTTTCTTAAGAGTGACCTTGCGAAATGGGGTGGGAACGGCTTGCGTAGGCCCAGCTCTCACGACAGAGCAGCTGTTGACTCCCCGGCGTGCACGGACTGCCCTCACACCGTCTGTCCTCCTCAGCTCCTCTCTGTACAAGGCGCCGTGGGCGCGAGTGCTCGTGTACGGGCTCGGCCACAAAGTGAAGCGGAGTGGCCAGCTCAACCTCATCGAGGCCGTCTGCTACCCGCGGGACGCGTCCCCGGCCAACACCGGGCTCACGCCGCCTCCCACCACCAACCAGTACCCTTCCGTGATCCTCTCCACAGACAAGGTCCACATCAAACTGGGTAAGCCCTGACTTAACTTCTAGTAGCAAGAACGGCTTGAAGTCATTCTCTGCTTCTTTTTAACCATAGACAGGATTTTGTACCTTGTCCCTTGCTGTGTTCCAATTTCTATGGGTAAAGATTTGGACTGCTTGGGGCGGTGTATTTCAGACAAAGTCGATTGAAAGAACTCCCTTTGCTGCCTGGGGAAGGCCTGGCAGATGCTGCCCAGACTACAGTGGGGATTGCCTCCCCTTTCACAGTGTGTTGGGACGCCTCCTGTTTAGATTGACCTGAGCAGAGCAATCTCACCATGTAGCTGCACTAATCCCAGCTGCCTTTCCTCTCATTGCAGCTGACTTCTCCCGGGTGTGACATGGCGCCCTGGGGCACGAGCCTCAATGAGCATCTGCTCCCCGTGGCGGCCCGTGGCCGGAAGGCTGGCTTGGTCCTGTCTCCCTGGCATCCTTTGTTAAGCCTCCTCAGGTTTAGATCCAGATGAGAGCTCCGTCTCTGTAACTGACTGTCTGCTTTATGCACCACACCCAGCGGACTCTGAGTAAACACAGAGGAAAGGAAAACCCAGGCTTAGGGTTCCACTGTGTGTCCTTGACGTATTTGACAAGAAAAGATGGACACATGTTTGCTAGAGGCCACCATAAGGTATATGGGACTCGGCCTCTCCACAGTCCCGGTCCTAGAGACATTACTTCTTTAGGGAATGAAATGAAAGCACACTTCTTAAGTGATTTGGTCGTTGCTAAACAACTTTATGATCTCTTTGCATTAGGGCCCATTTTTTCGTAAGATCTTGCCTATACTGGCTCTTCAAACCTTACACACAGAGGATCTCTGGCTTATATCTCTCACTCCCCAGTTATCACCCTGTGAACATTCTCCCCACAGTGCAGCCAGTTGCCATGGTTCCTCCTTACTTGACCCATGCTGCCTGGCTGGTGTCTGACCAGTGCTGGCAGTGGGGATTTGGATGCCGTGCAGGATGTGAGGGGCATCAGGCCTTATCCCTCGCTGTAGGCACCTTTGGTCAGGTTCAGGCCATGCCAATGACAGAAGGTGATAAAAGAGAATCAGAGCCCACGGTCCTGCTAGTGCCTAGTCCTCAGAACCCCACACTGGTCACTCTATAACCCTAATCTAAGCTAATGCTCTCGTGGGATTGCAGCCATACCAACGGGCTGACTGTTTCTTGACCAAGCTGGGAATATTCCAGTGTAGCATCTTTCGAAGTCCGACTTCCTATTTCCATGCTGGGTCATCAGGCTGGTGGGTATCTGACTGACTGGGAGTATTTGTCCTTTCCCGTTTCCATTGCTGCCCTTTGTCCCATTGTCACACCAACAAGTGGACTCCTTGGAGGGATGTCCCTCGGCTCCCTCCGCGCCTGAAGCTGACTCTGTCTGGAGTGTTGGAGTCATATCTCCTCTTGCCCTGTTTCTCCGCGTGCACGTGGCCGGCCTTTTGCTCAGGCTTATTTCAGTCACGTGCTGTTGGGTAGGTGCTGCCAATCTCAAGCTTTCCTCCTGGCCCTTCTTCCAGGGGTGTCGCCACCTCCCGGAGCGGTGCTGGTGTTACATTCTCTGCCCCTGGAGTTCCCACTGGCCATGGCCTTCGCCGAGCAGCTGCTGTCCTGGAAGTCAGAGGATGGCGAAGGGAGATCTGAAGATGAGCCTGACACCATCCCGACATCTGTCCTCCTGCAAGTGGTGGAGCTGCTGGGTGAGGCTTGCCCTCCCTCTGGACCAGGGGCCCCGGGTGTGGGGAAGGAGCTTGCCAGATGGGCTGGGGGTGCCCGGGCAGCAGCGGGCTCTTGTCAGGTTGCTGCCATGTGAAGCAGGCTTGGGGAATTCAGTGGAAGGGGCAGCCTAGGCTTCCGAATCTGTGATTTGCAGGGTATTTCCATTATTCCAAGGGGTGGCAACTAACCATGAAAATAAATTTAATTTTACCACACTTCACTTTAAAACATAAATATATGCCGTATTGTAACTTTGGAGGTTAAAGATGGCGTGGAAGTGAACGATGTGGAAAAAATCAAACATTAGGACTTCATAGCTCCTGAAAGGTTAAAAAGAGGTTGCGTTTTGGCAAAACTCGGAATGTTTAGCTTGAGTTGGGCATTTACCATGCGTAACCTCAAAGAATGTCTAAGTAAATATTGAACTTTTACACTATGCCTGCTTAAGTGTTTAGGGATAAAATATACTGATGTCTTCAATTTACTTTGAAATAATCAAAAGCTAAGATGAGTTTATGGATGAAGAGAGGATAGATAGATGTGTAATAAATGCAGCAAAATGTTGACAGTGGAATCTAGGTGGTGGGCATACAGGTGTTTACTGTATAAGTCAGTTTTTCTATATTTTTTTAATGTTTTTGTAATAAAATGTTGGAAGGAGAAAAGTGTTGCAAACTCCAATGCTCTCAGTTGTCAGACATCTTCCACAAATATCAAATGGCAGACGAAGGACAGTGGAGGAGGAAACGAGCGTCCCAAGGCCAGACCCCGTTGGCACTTGTCCTCTGTGAATGGCTCAGTGAGGCCCAGGTCCCATGACAACCATGAGTTTATTTCCAATCAGAATTGTCAAACAGCATCACCCCTGAGAGAGCAGGAAACTTAGCCCCCTGCTTTGTAGGTGCTGGGCTTAGTCAGAGATTCTTGGTAAGTCAGCCTGGCCTGACGCTGGGGACTCCCTGACTATAACCTGACTATGTAAACCTAAGACGCACATCTGGCACAGAGAGGACCTTGGTACAGATATGTGGTCCATCTTGTTGTTGTAGACGTTTTTTCCCAAACTTCAGTCATTCTTATGCCACCTTTATGTGATTTCTTCTATGTCTGCAAGTCATGCCTATTAGCATTTATTTCTTTAGTTGCAGTTAGGACAATCAACTCCTTTGTCCTTTTTTTAAACTTAAATTTAAGAAAACTTTGTTGTTACTTTAAATGGAATATCAGTATTCCTTGCCATATGAAACTAGAAGATAATTATAAAAATAAAAAGATAGTTACTGTTACGAAATTTTGGCTACGTGCTGCTGCCTGTCAGAGGCTCTGGGTCTGTGGCCCACTCTGTTAAGAATGTATCAACCCCACAGTAAGGCTTTCTTGTTGGCAAAATGAGGACTAAAAAAGCATTGAAGAAGGAGTACTTTTTTTCAGTGTGTGCTCCTGTGCTATCTGGTAAAATTGGATTCTCCACCCCCATTAGTAAGCATCCCATGATTGGGAAACACTGTTCCAGTGACTTGTCACCAACTTGCTACCTTGAGAAAGAAAATCATGATTTTTTTGGCCTCAGCGACAGAAGCCAGCTCTGTGCGATCATGTGCCGCAGGGGTTAAGGCCGACCTGCCCAGCTCTCCCTCTGGTAGCCGTGACCTTGGGCAAGTCCTTCAGCTAACTGCACCTGTTTCTTCATCTGTGAGATGGGGTGAATAGTGTCATGTCTGTCTCACAGGGGTGCTCTGAGCATTGAATCGTTAAAGTACTTAGACCGGTGCCTGGCACGGGATAAGCGCCACTTTCTGTTTGCTCAGGGAACTTCCTGTGGACCACGGACATGGCGGCCTGCGTGAAGGAGCTCGTGTTCCACCTCCTAGCAGAGCTGCTGCGCACGGTGCACGCCCTGGAGCAGAGGAAGCACCCCGCCGGCCTGTCCTCTTCCATCGCCCTGCAGCTGAACCCCTGCCTGGCCATGCTGATGGCCTTGCAGTCAGAGCTCCACAAGCTGTACGATGAGGAGACCCAGAGCTGGGTCTCCAGCAGCACGTGCGGGGGCTCGGGCACAGCGGCGGCCCCTGACCAGGGCAGGTTCTCTACATATTTTCACGCACTCATGGAAGGCTGCCTGGCAGTGGCCGAAGTGACCCTGCCTACCAACATGAGTGTCACGGCCAGTGGGGTGACCTCATCGACCGCCCCGAATCTCAGTGACTCGTCCTCCTCCTCGTCGTCCTCCCCAGGCCAGACACCGCAGAGCCCCAGCCTCCTGTCCAAGAGGAAGAAAGTCAAGATGAAGCGGGAAAAGGCCTCCTCCTCTGGGAAGCGCCAGTCCTCCCGCTCCGCAGACTCAGACCCCGCCGTGCTCAGCATCGGGGGCAGCAAGCCTGAGGACATGCTGTGGTTCCATCGGGCCCTTACCTTGCTCATCATCCTCCGGCACCTCACCAGGAAGGACCCGCAGGGGCTGGGCGTGACGAGCGACGCCATCGCCGACGCCTGCCAGGCCCTGGTTGGCCCCACGGCCCACAGCCGTTTGCTGGTGATCTCCGGAATCCCCACCCACCTGGACGAGGGCATTGTCAGAGGTGCCATCCGCAAGGCCTGCAACGCCCACGGCGGGGTCTTTAAAGACGAGATCTACATCCCCCTGCAGGACGAGGACCCCAAGAAGCCCAAAGACAAGGCCGAGGGCAGCGATGGAAAAACCGAGCCGGAGAAGACCCTGGGCTTTCCCAGCACAGACAGCGTGGAGGTCAGCACGTCCAGCAGCCTGACCCCCGCCGTGAGCATCAGTGCGTCCGCCTCCACCAGTCAGGCCTCCATCTGCAGCTCCCAGGGCCTCTCGCAGACGGCCAGCGACCTCTCTGTAGACCCGCTGCCCTCAGGCCTCGAGCTGCCCATCCCTCCTGGCTTGTTAGAGCCCCACGTGGTGTCCAGCCAGGAGAGCCTGGACATCTCTCTGTGCAGCACCGGCAGCCTAGGGAGCCTGGGGAGCCTGGGGGAGCCGCTGGACAATGCAGAGACGGCCTCAGTGTCAGACGTGGGCTCCATGTACACAGTCACGTCCCTGGACAACCAGCCGCTCGCAGCGCGCCCCATCAAGGGCTTTGCAGTCGTGGAGGTAACAGTGCTCACACCTCGGCAACCACTAAACTCGTTAAGCCTTCCGATGTTATTTCCCAGGGATTACCTACTAGGTGACACTGGGGCACTTAGGGGCTCCTGGAGGCAGCTCCTGGAAACAGCAGTGATTGGTTCTGCGGAGTGTCTGTGTTTGAGGTCACAGCTCTGAGAGCTGGCCAGTCTGATGTCAGGGAGTTAGTGCAGTTTATCGCTGACTGTGGGAGGGAGGCCGGGGGCTCGGGGGCTGACCTTTCCTGATGGATGCGCCTGTCAAGTGCCTTCCAACTCAGGCCCCACCGGTATATTTCCCAGGGGCCTTGGGTTGTTACACACGCTGGCATCGCAGGAGGGATCTTCACTGAGCAGTGAGAACAGGCTCTTGCCATTCTCTTCCAGGTGATTCTGAGTTTCAGAGGAGGGACATGTAGCCGGGTCACATTTCACTTCAAGACCCCATCTGTTTCTTGGGCCTCCTTGTTTCCTGTGTCTCCCTGTGCCCTTCTGTAATGGGAGTCAGGCTCAGAGTAAACACTGTCCTCCCTCATTGGGTGTGGGGGGGAGCAGCGCTGGGAAGAGCGCTTGCCCTGCTTTGCTCTCTCCCCAGTGGGCTCTGAGAGGGCGCTCAGGGGTCCAGCAGTCTGGCTCCTCCCTAGATTCGCTTCTTTAGCTAGCCACCCTATTCCTGGGGACTTTCTGGGCCCAGCCTGGGCTCAGCCTTCTGACCTTCAGAACAGAGCCGCAGACCTGGCGAGAGCTTAGCGACAGACTTCCAGTGGCGACGTTCCCTAAAGGTTACCACTGTTGGTATGCAGGAGGGACTTGACCAGGAGGCCAGCTCGCCCAACCCTAATGCTCACGAGGAAAGGGCTCCCGCGGAGGCAGGAAGGAAGTAAAGGCCATTCCTGTTGAGGGGGTGGTCACTCTCCAATCCTGACCCTTTTCTCTGTTCACACAGATCAGATCCCGAGCCAAAATCGAGAAAATTCGAGCCAGTTTATTTAACAATAATGACTTGATTGGTTTGTCAAGTTTGGATGGTGAAGATGAATTGATGGAGATGTCAACGGAAGAGATTCTCACTGTATCCGTAGTAAATCAGAGTTTGTTTGACACTCAGGGGAGCCCAGGATTAGAAGATTATTTCAATGATAAGTCAATTAAAGGTGAGTCATAGGTTTTTTAAATTAATAGACTTTTTTGAGCAGTTTTAAATTTGTAGAACAAACAGAATGAAAATCATTTCCCTCTCCATTCCCAATTTCCCTATTTTTAACATAGAGGAGCTCTGGGGGACACTCCTGGGGTTGCAGATTTAAGAAATGATTTGGGGGTGTTGGGAAGATGGGACAAGAGGTTCATTGCTTTGCTCGGGGCAAATGCATTGTGCGCCTCTTCTTATGATGTAGAGAGAGCACTCCTATACTCTCCCAGCTGTCAAGGCTCAGAAGGCCATCGGGGCAGCCCCTGCCACAGGCTGCTGTGTGCCACCCAGCCCAGGGACCATCAGGAATGGCTCTGCCACAGCCTGCTTCACACTTGAATGTGGGCTTGCATTCAAGTCATGCTTTTCTTTTTGTCTAGCCAGGCTCCCCCTTGTTCAAGTTCAAGTGTATGTCTTTCATTCTGTCCTATGGAGCTAGAATGTACCAAGCATATTGCTGGTAGTCATTCAGTCCTATGCTTGAGGACAGTGAATGCCTCACCTTTTAAAACTAATTCTTGGGGCAGAAACAGTTCTAGCGCCTTTCTCACAAAGTCCTGCTTTGTCGTTCTGGTGGCTCTTACATGGGTAGACCCTGTCTCGCTTCCCCACATCTTTTGTTATGGTGCTGAGGATTCACCCAGGACCCTGGCTCTACCAAGGCCCCCCAGAGCAAATCTAGCAGAAAATCCCGCCACTTGAAGCCAGACACTCGCCCCAAGCTTCACTTCAGAAGCAGCAGCAATTTTTCTTTTTAGAATTATAGTTCTTTGTGTTCTCATTTTTATTATGTGCTAATCTTTCTCAACTTTGAATCCCTGTCCTTTTTTCTAAATCTTGGGTATTGTTTGAAATTTCATAATTAATTGAATTTTCTTTCGTTTTCCAAGTACAAAAATGTTGAGTATAAGTTTTGTTGTTTCAAATTTTTACCCTCCAATCATGAATTTTTGAAATGTTTCCCCAGTGCTGGGACCTGGGTGAGGCAAGTGAGGCCTTGGGCATAAAATTTAATGGGGCTCCAAAAAACTCAGTTATCTAGATAAATACTATCTTAATGCAATATTTCTAAAAGTCAAAATGAGTGCAAAATAACCATGATAAGCAAAATACTAAAATTTTAAATAAAGACAAGTTTAGCGTTACTGATTTTTTTCTTTTGCATCAAGCTTTCTTATGGCTCAGCACAGCCGTGTTAATGTTTTACTCATCATGGGTTGTTTTGTATTAATTTTGATTTTTTTTTTTAAGTACTGCATTAAGATATGTACCTTGTCACTGAGTTTTTGGCAGTCTTGCACCTCAGGGGCCTGCCTGGCTGTCCTCACCCTGCTCTTGGCTCAGTTCCCTTGTTAGTGGTTTTTTTTTTTTTGCCCCTTCAGCTCTCAGCTGCCCACATGGGGATGCCTAGTGTAAGATCTGTGCCTTTTTCTGCCATAATTAATGCTCTCCCAGTCTTTTCATACTTTAAATTTCGTTCGAGTTCCTGATTCTGTTAGAGGCAAACCTCGCACATAAAGTACTCCGTCTTTTGATAGCGTGTTTGCCGTGTTACTGCCACGAAATTTTTTAAGTTGTGGTTCTGCTGGGTCAGCTCTTGGGACTCAGCCACCTCTTTTGCACACCTGTCCCCCCACCCTCAGCCCAGATGCCTGCAAGGCCTTTGTGCTGTGGTTTCCACAGCCAGGCCTGACCTGGGTCTGGCTCTGGTGTGGGGACCCCCAGAGAGAGAATGAGGAGCACAGACGGAGGAAGTCAGTCAGCTCTTAAGTTGGGGTGCTCGGCCATGAGAGGCGTGCAGATGGGTTCCTGACTGGCCCGTTAGGAAAGGTGCGAGCGCCTTCGGGAGCACATGTTTGGGAACAAATAAATTTTTTTGTGTGTGGGCTCGTAGACAATTTTCTTGGATCTGAGAAAAGTTTCCTTTCCACCTGCTCATTGTGTCAGTTTTGAAACATGTTCTCTAATAATGTAATAACTGTTTAACAACTTGTACTCTGCACTAACAATACTTGCAGGCTCTGTATCCTTTTGTGCTTTGGGACCAGCCATCACAAACGTGTAGTATAAGTTACTGTAGGTTACACCGCCATAAGAAACAGACCCAAGAGTTCAGTGTCTCGAACCCAGTGGAAGTTTATTTCTCGTACGTGTTTAAGAGTCCAGGGTGAGCACCGAGGTCTGCCATCCCAGGGGGCTTGTCATTTCCACGCAGCCAGCGGGGGACACGTGTGCAGAAGAGAGCAGCCGGGCCCAGAAGGGGCTCCTGTCCCTCAAGGGCCACACCTTACAACAAAGAAGGCTGACATGTAACAGAGGGCTGCGCTCCAAAGGGGGAGACCAGGTTTCAGTGGACAGCTCACTGTTGCTGCTAACTGTCTGTTACCCACTTTTAAAAATGAATTATTTATGAAAAGTAAATGCTGCGAGTCTTATCCTTACATCGCATGCTCGGGCCCCCCTCCATCTGTAACAGGTGAGAAGCTGGTGCCTGGGGCCAGAGAGGTGCTGACGGAGATATTTAAGAGCTGCGCCCACTCAGAGCAGATGCTGAGCCTGACACCAGCAAAGCCCATCAAAGTGTCTGACATTTATCTTAGCAAAGAGCAGATCAACTCCCAGACGCCAGGCAACCTCCTTCACCTCTTCTTCACCAACGTCCGGCCTCCAAAGAAGGTGCTGGAGGACCAGCTCACCCAGGTAGCTGCCCCTCCCCGCGTGCCTGTGCTGGGCCCCAGGTGTGCCTCGGGGACAGCCTGAGGACCCCGTCCCCCTTTGGCACCCACAGATCCTGAGGAAGTACGGCGTGCCAAAGCCCAAGTTTGACAAGAGCAAGTACAGCAAGGCAGGGAAGGAGCAGCACCCCGTGAAGGTGGTCAGCACCAAGCGGCCCATCACCAAGCCGCCCGCCAAGGACAAGGCCGTGCTCACCACAGCGTCAGGTGGGCGTCTGGGAGCCGGGCGGGGGCATGGGGTGGCCTCCTGGCAGGTTCCTGCGAGGCCAGACATCCGGGCACGGCTCCGCTCTGCTCCGCTGCCAGGACCCCTTCAGTTCTTGGCTTGTCAACCGAAAGGGTGTTTCATTTGATTCACCAGTGCAGTCAAGTCTGGACCGTGCAGGCTGGGAAGCGGACCAGTGTGAATTAACGAAACATCTAAAATGTACAGACTTGTTTCAAAAGTCGGACTTCTTTAAACCACACAAATAACTCATAGTTATTATAGAAAGACTATAAAATGCATACGTGCATGTTGAAAACAATGTAATTACCCCGTGCATAGCAACTACTTTTCACACTTAAGTGCATGACATCGTATGTAGGCATATGTATTCTTTTCTTAAATTTTAAATGGCTAAACTACTACAAAATTCAAAAGCTTCTGCAGTGAAAAGCCACTCCACTTTCTCTCCACCCTCACGCCCCCGGGTCCCCTCCCTGAGACTGCCAGTGTCACACAGCCTTCCAGAACTCTCTATCACACACAAGCAAGTTTATACACACCCAAGTGTGGGAGCCGTACACACTGCCCATACCTACCTTGCTGCTTTTGTCACTACTAGTCTTGCATGGAAAGAACTTCTCGTTCCTTTTTAACAGCTATATAATATTCCATGTGGATATGCACACATATTTAATAGAATTTTCTTTAGTTGCGGGTTATGACTCTCCAATACTTCCAGCTGAAACTACAACAAAGTGTTACCAAGTAGGGGTCTCCAGAGGAATTGTTCAAATGATCAGAAAAATGAGGGGTCTTTTTGTTAATTATATATAAACGGTGCCTGTAAATCAGTACCGTCAGTAGAATTGTCTGTGGTGGTGGGACTCGGCTGTTTTTCTACCTGTGCTATGAAGACAGGAGCCACGAGCCACATGTGAGCACTTGAAAGGTGGTGAGTGCAGCCAAGGAACTGAATTTGTCATTTTAGTTTAATTAATTGAACTTAAGTATCTACATCTAGCTCATGGCTACTTCTTGGACAGTACAGCTCCGAAGTATGTTGAAAGAATGTCTGAAAAGTGTCTCTTTGAGATTTTTCACATTTGACAGCATCAGTTTGTCCTCATAATTGGCTTAGTAAGCTTTTCTCGGTCAGAACAAAGCTGATCTTGAACCCAACCCTGTCTGAACCGTAGGCGTAGTTGAGGAATATGAACTAACGCATGTGTGAGCTTCTGCATTTCTTGTTGGGGGGAGGCGTGGCCACAGGTGCTCTGATTCCATTGCTTTGGTCTACAGCAGGACTGCCTTAAGTGAGAAGAAGCCAACTGTGAAGCCCAAGTCCCCGGAAAAGAGCAAGCCAGACGAAAAGGACCCAGAAAAGTCACCCACCAAAAAACAAGAAGGTGAGGCCTTTCGAGCTTCCTTTGCTCGGCCCGCTCCAAACTCTTTGGAGTGTACTTTCTCTTCTAATAATGGCTCTTGAGCCATTCTCTACTGCTCGGGCCTGCTTCTGTTTCTTTGAAATGTATTTTTTCTTCTAATAAACTGTCCTTTTCTGCAACTTTAAAAAAAAAAACCACAGTGAGTGAGCAACTTGAGCCTGGTTTGGGGTTGGGGGCTACTTCCATCCTGGAGGTGGGTGGTCCCCCTGGGAACCGGCCTCTTTGCTTTCCCCCATCTCGCTGGGTGCCCGTGGGTCTTAGTTTAGGCAGGAGACGCATTGCCACAGACACTGGGGCAGAGTATCTGGCCGGTGCCAGCCATTGCCCCAAGATGCGGTCTTTGATGACCGTGAACTTACAAAGATCAATATAGCAGATCCAGAAATACCCTACACCCAAGGTGACTGAAAGTAAAGATCTGACATCTGCTTAGAAATTCTCTTCCAGAAGGGTCTTTCTTTCCTGGGGCATCAGAACTTTAGCCTCCGAAAAGCTCAGAGGTGGAGAAAGCTATTCTCATTGTCACAGAATTAGTCGGGAATGTTTCTGAGATTAGAGAAAGAAGGGACTGTGGGAAAAACGCTGCACCACCTACCTGGGCAGTGGGTGGGAATGGCCAGTTAACAGGCCCTGGGTTGGCCGGAGACAGGAGGTGGGTTAGATGGACTGGGCCCTGAAAGAGGGGCTCCGCTGTGCCCAGTTCTTACCAAATTCTTATCACTGTGAACGCTTTTCTCCTCAGTCCCTGAGGAAAAGTATCTGACCTTGGAAGGCTTTCACAAGTTTGTTGTTGACCGAGCCAAGCAAGACATCCGTAGTGTCTGGAGGGCGATTTTATCCTGTGGCTACGATCTCCACTTTGAGAGGTAAGAGGTTGGTCCTCAACCCCTTTCATACTTTCTATAAAAATAGTTTTCAGTCCCTAGATGCACCCCCAAGAAACACTTCCTGGGGAGCCATTCCGTATGCCGTTTTTAATGCCCGCTGAGTTGCTTTCTCATTTTTCCTAATTGCTGAAGTGTGTTTTCTAACCCATTTGAAGACAAACCCTGTTCTAAACAACAGAGATTCACATTCTCACAGTTCTGGAGGCTGGACGTTCAAGGTCAGGTGTCAGCAGGTTTGGCATCTCCCGAGGCCTCTCCTTGGCTTGCAGATGGCTGCCTGGTCCTCACATGGCCTTTCCTCCATGCAAGTGCCTCCCTGGGGTCTCTCCCTCTTCCTATAAGGACACCAGTCCTATTGGATCAGGGCCCATCCTGTGACCTCACTTAACCCGAATTACCTCTTCACAGGCCCATCTCCAAATACAGTCACGTTGGGCTTCAACATATGAATTTCAGTCCCTAATGGGGACAGATTTCTTACTCCAAAGAGCCTTTTTTCCCTCTGAGTTTGCATTGCCCTCTGCCCCCCTCCCCCAGGCACAGTGAGGCCACTGCTTACCAAGTCTCCAGGACCAAACAGATCTGGCTTTCCCTAGCAGCTACAAGTGAACCCTGAACAGGCAAGACATTTGCAAACCAAAAGCAAGCCTCCTGGTCCTCTCCTCCTGGCTCCTCACCCACAGCAAGGTGCTGGGCAGCAGAGAGGGAATGGCTGCCAGCGGCAGGCTTTTAAAGTCCATTGGCGGAGTTGAGAAGTTGTTCACTGCTTGGCACCAGTGTTTTGTACCTTCACTGAGGGCTCAAGAGTCGATCCCTGGGTGGCCCTGGGCGGCCCTGGGCGGCCCTGGGCATTGGGGCAGCAACAAGTTTTCTGACTTGCTGTAGAAACCAGTTTGGGGCTTTTGTTGAAAGTAGAATCACCCATTTTGGACTGGAAACTGTATTCTAAGTGGGAAGGGAACAAATTGGGCTGCAAACTAATTCCAAAGTGACACCTTGTTATAGCCAAGAGGGCTCATTCTTGTGCGTCATGGGGTCATGGTGACGTCCTGATCCCTTCTTCCCTTTTTACCACGCCTGGTCTCAGGGCGACCTGCCTGGATCAGCCGGCCTGGGGGGGCTGTGAGGGGACCCTCCCGTCAGAAAGCCCCTTCTCAAGGAGGATGGGTCTCCAAGCAATCCCTAAACAGGACCGGGGTGGCCTGCAGAAGAGAGGCGTGGCACCTCCCCAAGACTGGCCCTCCGTGCGTGGCACGCCCCATGGAGCATGTGGCTTACTTGCAGTACCATGGCTTCTGGGACTAGATAAAGGCACCCGTGCCCACCTGCCTGCCTGCCTGCCTTTCTGGGGTTCATGGCTTAATGTTTGTGGAATAAGGACATGCACACATTACAAACACAAAGGCGATCCTGCGATTCTGTGCCCAGGGATCATCTCTGTAATGGTTGGTGAACGTCTCTCCCAACAGTTTTCTGGGGGCAGGTGTTTTCAGGACTGTGGAGGTGGCGTCAGACGAGACATACTGTTCTGCAGTCTGCCTTTTTCATTTTTCCACATCAGCCCATATTATTCCACCAGATGATTTTAAGGGCCGCCCAGCAGGCCATTGTTAGGGTGTGGTGGGGTTTGTTTAGTCATCTGGCTGTGTCTGACGTAGCTGCGGTGAGCAGGCCTGCAGCGATGCCCTCACAAACACACCTGCGCCTGTCTAGTCAAATATCCCTGTGGGGGTGCCCTGGAAGAGATCGCTGGGTAAAGGGTAATGGCTTCAGTAACACCAGGCTGGCTCCTACCGTGCCCTTTCATGTGCGGGTACCATGTTGTGTGCATCACAGGCGTCCTGTCAGTGAGTTTCCGTGACAGCACGTGAGGCTGTGCTGTGGCTAACTCCATTTTAGATGAAGAAACTGGCTCGAAACGTAGGCATGCTCTGTGGCCAGGCCTGGATTCCACCCAAGGACTCTAGAGCCCCACCTTCACCATAACACCCACTGTCCACGGACGAGAGGGAGGCACGTGTGCATGCATGTCGCCAGAGTCCTACCGTCACCAGCCTGCTCCGCTTGGGCTTCCCCTCACCACAGCACCTTGGCCGAGCTCCAGGAAACAACTTGAGAGGCAGGGCCATCTTAGAAACGTCCTTGGGAGCTGGACAAGGCCCCGGAGGAGTCCGGCAGGCCCCAGTGTCCCCCCCACACACCTTGCCCTTCGCCCCCCTCCATCCCCAGGTGTGCCTGCATTGATGTCCGACATGCGCACAAGGCCTCAAGGAAGTGGACCCTGGAGATGGACGTGGCGCTCGTGCAGTACATCAACCGGCTGTGCCGCCACCTGGCCATCACACCCGCGCGGCTTCATCCCCACGAAGTGTACCTGGACCCCGCGGACGCCAGCGACCCCAGAGTGGCCTGTCTCTTGAGTAGGTGACCCTAGGGGAATGCCCCGTCGGGGATCCCCCATAACAGTACTAGGAACACACACAAAAAGAGGATATTCTCTCCAAGGCCACCCCCGGGACATAACACATTGGCAAATGGCCCCTGGGCTGTTTGTGTGTCTGTCCCCACGTGTCCCCCAGGCCGGTGCTTTGCCTGTGCAGCACTCGGCCAGGTGTCTGCAGCAGCCCTTGCTATCTCCTGGACACTGTGAAGGGTCGTGGGCAAGCAATTGTCCCGTCCTTCTCACAGCTGAAGAGGAGACATACGTGAAGGCACACGAGTAAAGGACACTGTGCCAATGTCCCAGCTTCCTGGTTTTGAAATGTGAGATCACATTGGGGAAAGTCGGGGAAAGGTACACAGGACTCTGCACTGTTGTGCAACTTCCTATAAGTCTGTCGTTATTTCAGAGTTAAAAGTTCAGAAATAATACAGTACGCAGTCCTGGCATGGCCCCACAGGTGGGCTGAGAGGCCTGGGTTTCCCCAAGAGCCAGGGCCCCCCACTGGCCCTCCTGGGCCTCGCTCTTTGTCTCGGGCACTTTGGGGGCCCACTTATCACGACAGCGTGTCTGGGCCCCGGGGATAAAGCCCACAGCAGGAGCCTCCCAGTCCCGCTTGAAACCCCCCACTCCTGGCCGCCCTCCCTACGTGCGATGACCCCTACGTTTGTTTACACATGGAGCCCCAGCCTGACACACACACCCCCATGCCCCTCTGTGCCCCCGTGTCCCTCGTGCCCTGCAGACGTGCCCAGCGAGAGCTTGCGTCTGCGCTTCGCGCTGCTCCAGTCCCTGAACACCACGCTGGAGACCTTCTTCCTGCCCCTGGTGGAGCTGCGCCAGACACCCATGTACACCCACAGCATCGCCGCCCTGCTGAAGGAGGCCAAAGGTCAGTGCCTGGCTGCCAGGGATGTCGCCCCCCACACCAATGTGCACGTGTCCCCTGGAGCAGTTCACTCAGACCAGTAGCATTAACTCCACTCTGGAAAATGAAAGGGTTCACATTACTGAGAAGAGAAAGTTAAAGCCCTGACTCTCTGTCTGCCCCCACATTTCTGCATCCCAGAGATGACCCTGAACAGATGAGCATCTGTCCTCCTAGACTATTCTGTTCACATACAAATAGACACACACACTTTTCTACCGTGTTTCCCTGAAAATAAGACCGGGCCTTATATTAATGTTTGCTCCAACAATCTACATTTATTCATTTATTCATGTACAAAAATCTGCATTTATTCAAACAGTCACGTCTGGCTGATGACCTTCACTGGGGCTTATGTTTGGGGTGGGGCTTATATTACGAGCATCCTGAAAAATCATGCTAGGGCTTATTTTCCAGTTCGGTCTTATTTTCAGGGAAACACGGTAATCAAAAACAGGTATTCTACATTCTGCCCGGCAACTCCATTTTCTCTTTGGTGACCTGCTCCAGAGACCTCTGCTGACACACACAACCCCCTTGCCTTGCCGTCCATGGTGTAGGTGCCCGTAGTTTATTGATAGTCTGTTCTCTATTGACAGACACTTGAGTGGTTTTCATTTTGGGCTGTTTCAGAAAATGCTACAGCCAACCTTCTTGTTTTTTGTGCATTTGGGATTGTATCTCTGCCAGTTGGGTGTCTCCAGGGGTTTGTGCGTTAACATGAGTAGAACCTAAATGGTTTGCAAGTTCCCCATGCAGGGACCCGAAGGGCATCCCAGAAGAGACTGGACAGACCCAGAGGGGACAGCATGGCCTCAGCCAGGCCTCAGGGGTGACCAGGACGCAGCCCCATCCCAGCCCCTCTCCCACATTCCCTGCTTCAGGGCTGATCTTCTACGACACGAAGGTGACCGTAATGAACCGGGTGCTGAACGCCACTGTGCAGAGGACAGCTGACCACGCGGCGCCTGAGATCACTTTGGACCCCCTGGAAATCGTGGGAGGTATGACCAGCTTCACAGACAGGAAGGTGCAGGCAGTGGCGTGAACAGACTAGTTTGTTTCTCGCACATAAAAGAAGCCTCAAGAAGAAGAGAATCCGGGGCTGCCTTCTGGCTGTTTCTGTGCTGCCCCAGCCTCCAAGTGTGTGGCTTCACCCTCAGGGTCCCCCAGGAGCTCTGTGCTCGAGGCAGCCGGAGGAAGGGGATGGTCTTTCCTTTCCATCTCGTTGGAGAATTTGGCCTTGAGGCCACATCTAACTGCAGGGGAGGGTGGGACGTGCAGACTTTATTCTGGTTCACCACGGACCTGCCAAAACTGGGGTTCTGGCACCAAAGAAGAGGGGGCGAGTGGATACTGGGGAGGCAGCCAGGAGTTCCAGCCATAGCCCGTAAACAAACAAACTATGATGGACACAGGTGGAGGAGATGAGGGGCCTGGGTGGGGGAGGGCCGACCACTGAGAGAACAGGCCACCATGTGGCCGAGGCATGAAAGACGTGAAGCATTCCAGAGCACAGCGAATGCTGGGCGAGGGAACGGACTGAGGGCGGAGAAGCAGGCAGAGGCCTGGCAAGACGTCTGCCCTGTGGGGAGGGGGCCAAAGACTGCCACGGGGAGGTTTCACGAGTCCCTGTCTCTTTCCAGGGGAGATCAGAGCTTCTGAAAACTCCTACTTCTGCCAGGCTGCCAGGCAGCTGGCCTCGGTGCCGTCATCGCAGCTTTGCGTCAAACTGGCTAGTGGCGGCGACCCCACCTATGCCTTCAACATCCGCTTCACTGGGGAGGAGGTCCACGGCACCAGTAAGTGCCCCTCCGCCCCCCGCAGGCTGTCACCCAGCCAGTCTAGGGTGGGGGCTGCGTTTAGAACGTAGAAATCATGCGGTTGCTTTCAGCCCAAATTGCCCAAGCTATTGCCCATTAGCAAGCGTAAAGGCCACATCTTCATTACCTTCTGCAGAAGCTAGAACTGCCCCCGGGGAGACCATCCTGTCCAGCCTCTCCAAATCCTCCCCCACGGGCTTGCCTCTGCCCCCAGGGGAACTGTGTCTGCCGCAGGTGTGGGGCTTCAGCCCGGTGTCATCCAGGCTCGGGGACAGCACCTCTGGTCAGTGCTGGCGTGCTCTTCCGCTCAGCGGACCTGGGAGGGACCCCCTCAGGGCAGACTGGCCTCCTCCACAGGCAGACCCCTGGCTGAGGGGCTGGTTGGGCTAAAAGCTCGTACTTGGCCCGTGAGAGGCAGGGTGTTGGGGAGACCTTGATGGAAATGACACCGTCTGTCATTTCACGCTGTAGGGATGAGGAAAAGCAGCTCAGAAAGTGCTCCCTCATGGCCCTCGTGGTCATTTTTAGCCCCAGACATTCAGAAAATGCCTCCCACTCTGGATGGGGGAAGGAACCCATTTCCTGACTTGGCCGCAGCAGGGAGGCTGCTGGCGCAGCTTCACCCCCATCCCCGCTGCGATTGATCATTGATTGGGGGAGCGCCATTCGAGCAGCATCTCAGCCAGCGGCACTGCGCCTCCTCGGGCGCCTACCCGACCCCCCCTGGTTCTCTAAGAACAGAGCCCAGAATGCCAGGCCCCTGAGCAACACCCTTCACCCCTCATAGCACCAAATGTCACAAGGTACCAACGTTGACCCGCTTTACATATAGGCAGACTGGGCCACTCCAAAGTTAAGTAGCTTCCCCAAAGTCAGGCAGCTGGCTGGGGCTCCAGCCCAGGTCTGCCCAGCACTTGGCAGGAATGTCCCGCCTCTTCATAGAAGCTGGGTGAGGGCCAGGCCCTGACATCTGTCCCCAAGCAAGTCCTTCAAGCAGTATGCGTGCACAGCTGTCCTCGGGGCTTCCTGACCTTGGCAGTGACGGGACCAGAGGAGGCCCATCCACTGAGAGGACTTTTGCAAAAAAACCAAAGGCACCTTCGGAATGGCAGCAGTGGGAAAGCAGATGACAGCCCGTCCCTTTCCATGTCCTCACACGTCCGTCCCTTCACCTCTGTGTTCACTGAACACACACTGAGCACCTGGGCCTTGGGGGAGGCAGTGCTGAGTAAAACAGGTGCCCTGCTCTGGGCACAGCCCGGGAGACAGACGTGGCTCAGGCAAGCCCACAGATCAGCATAAACTTGCAGCCGTGAGACCCCACGGAGGGGTCTGCATTTGATCTCCTTGAAACTAGCCTGTGAGGTTGGTACAGTTCCCATCCCCATTTGACAGATTGACTGAGGCTGGCTCAGGGAGTGAAGCGATTTTCTGGGGTTGCCCACCGCCCCCCATAAGTGGCACAGCAGGATTCAAGCCCCGGTCTCCCAGCTCTCGGGCGAGTTTTCTTTCCACTCCTCCGCAGCTGCAGGCTGACAAAGGTGGGGACAGTGCCTGTGGGCCGGGGCTGATGGGTGTCCGTCTGTCCCGCAGGCGGCTCCTTCCGCCACTTCCTGTGGCAGGTGTGTAAAGAGCTGCAGAGTTCCTCCCTGTGCCTCCTCCTGCTGTGCCCCAGCTCCGCTGTCAACAAGAACAAGGTAAGACGCCCACGGCCAGTGGCTTGGGTCACGGTGCATGTCCTCATCAGTGCCAGGCCCTTTCACGAGCCTTCCTAGCCTGGGTGGGGCAGGCCCGCGCTGCACTGGCCTGGCCAGCTCTGGGACACAGGTTCCCAGGGAGTCAGCTGGCTCCGCCTCCACTTCCAGGGCAAGTACATCCTGACGCCCAGCCCCATCACCTGCGGGGAGGAGCAGCTGCTGCACTTCCTGGGCCAGCTGCTGGGCATCGCGATTCGAGCTGACGTCCCTCTTCCCTTGGACCTCCTGCCCTCCTTCTGGAAGACGCTGGTGGGTGAGCCCCTGGACCCCGACCAAGACCTGCAGGAAGCAGACATACTCACATACAATTACGTCAAGAAATTTGAGAGTGTAAGTGAAACTCACATGTCTCCTGGGGGACAGCAGGGCCCCAGAACAGTGCCCCTGGGACGCTTATTGCCACCTCTGTGGCCTGGGCCACCCAAGCTCCCCAACTAAAGACTGGTAGGGATCTCCCAGAGGATATTAGGACAGGTAAGCCATCTGTGCCAACCAGGCTTGCTTTGTGGGGACAGATGCCTCTGCTGGGCCGCCCAGGGACAACTGAATGAGCAGAGGTATTGGGGTGTGAAATGCTATAAGCAGACCCAGTTTCCCTTTAAAGAGCTCTGCTTTAGGGCCTTGTCAAGAGCACAGATCAATTCTCTGGGATCCCCTGAGATTGGCCATGAAGGCGGTGGGAATGCAGTGGGACCCACAGAGCAAGCGAGACCACAGCAGTGTCTGACGCCCCTCTGCACACACAGACTAGCTTCCCTGGAGAGGGATGTGGTCGGGTCTCAGGCTGCCCGCTGGGCCTGTGGGAGCCACGCAGATCTGTCCGTTGGTTCTGCAGTCACGCAGCCTGCCGTGGGCCAGGCTCTGGGCTCACAGCCCGTCCTCAGGCAGCTCCCGGGCTGCTCTCCGTTTTTATGGTCCCGTCCTGGAGGGCTGTATTCAGAAGTCCTCGCGAGGGAAGTGAGGCTCAGAGACGTGAGCCAGGAGCAGGGCCGCCAGTGGAGCCCAGATCTGTCCAGCAGGAAAGCCTGTGCTTTGGGGCAGCACACATTCTCCACGGGTTAGGGACTGTCGCGTCCCGCGTAGCACAGGCAATGATGAGTGAGAGGGGACAGCACAGGGTGAAAGAAAATAAGAGAGACAAAGATAGATTTATGACACGAGGCCAGGGGGCTGCAGTTCTCTCTCTTTGGAACTGAGCACCTAATCGGACCAACGTGAAGCTTTTATTAAGAAATGTTAAAGGAGTAAAACTTCTTTATTTTTTCTAAAGTCTGTGTGATAAGTGCCTTAAGGCCAATTACCATCGACCAAACCCATTGTACTCCAACACAAGTTGTGTCTTCGTACTCCTACACACACAATCCCCAGGATGGTGCAGCTGCAGCTGCGTCCATGAATTAAGGGAGATAACCGACATCATTCCGCTGGGTCCCAGTTTTCCAGGACACCCCTTGAGGAAGCTTTACCGATATCATTTCACCGGGTCTCAGTTTTCCGAGACACTTTCTCGTGACCTTGTTAGGTTAGGGGCTGGTGTGGGGGGGGCAGTCAAGGATGAGGCTGTAAGGCAACAAGGGACTGTCCCGGTGGACTGTGGAGGTGGCCTCTGATCCAGTCCCTCCCCCTTGAGCCGACTGTGTGTGAGGCCTGGCAGAGGCTGCTGTCCAGGGGACCTCTGCTGAAGGCCATCAGCTAACTGTGCCTGCACTTGATGGGCTCCCTGTAAGCCGTCCCTTTAGCTGCCACTTGAGGGCAGACTGTGCAAGGGAGCAGCCAGCCAACAGACTGGCTAATAGTTGGCTTCTCGGCTTCTCGGCAGAAACCGATGATGATGCACTGTCTAAAGGGTCAAAGCAGGATGTCGCCATGGGCTGGGGATTTGTGTAGCTGCCAGGCACTGCTCCAAGAAGTCCTCCGGGGCTGTGGTTGGCAGCATGGGCCTGGGGCAGGCAGGGGATGTAAGACGGTGTCCGGCAGACAGTCCAGCCAAGGCTCCTGTTCTGGAAGGTTCTGGAACACCAGAGGGTGCTGGAATACCAGCGCTACACCAGAGGTTGGGGGGTGGGGAGGGCAACTGACCCAGGAAGAAATGCTCTGAACTTCTGTCAGGGGGGCCTGTAGCCTTCACCATGGTGGGAGGTTACTGCTAAGGACACATATATGCACAGACCCTAACTCCCACCTTCACCATCCCAGAGCTGCAGTCTTATTTTTTTTTTATATAGATTTTTATTGGGGAATTGGGGGATGGGAACAGCGCTGGGGAAGGGAATGGGGGAAGGGGAACAGACAAGTTGCTGTCATTTTGTTCTTCAGTCTAGTTGTGGAGGACATTGCTTCACTGGCCCAAGTTGGCACCATCATTGCGCTCTTCCCGGGCGAGGCAGATCAGTCGCCGGCTTCTGGACGGCCGCTCACTGAGGCTGCTGGCCACTCACGCTGGCTGCTGGCTACACACGGTAGCCCATGGCAACCCACCTGCTGTCGCCGGCGACTCAAGGCAGCCCAGCTCCAGGTTGAGCTGTTGTTCAGAATCTTAGCTGTGGAGGGCAGTGTCACTGGCCCTCATATGTGGGATCCGAACCGGGGTCCTCTGGCGTCCCAAGCCAGGTCTTAACCAGTGTGCCACTCAGCCGGCCCCCAGAGCTGCAGTCTTATTCGTTCTCCTCTGGGTCAGATCCTGCCATCTCTTCACAGCTCAGTGTGGTGTGCCAAATGGTAGAGGGGGTAGCCCACGTATATCCCACAGATGGAATTAAGTCAGGGCTCTCTGTTGGCAAGTGACAGAAAGTCCAGCTCAGATCAGCTTAGGACAATTTTATAAAGTACTTTGCTCTTAAAACAAAATGTACAGATATAGTTTGGGCTTCAGGCAGGGCTGAATCCAGGTGCTCAAATGATAGCATGAGTAATCGGTCTCAAGACGGCCCCCAGCAGGACAAGGCATATCATCTTAGAGCATATCCACTCCAGTGAAAGAGGCTGCTGCTTCCAAACAGTAACAGGAGCATCCCTGTAATTGGGGTCTCGTTAGCATATGCCCAGCCCTGAAGTGTTGGCGGGCTCTGATTGGCCAGGCCCGTGCCATGTGCTCATTCGTGATGGCCGAGGGTAGCCTCCGCCCACACCATGCCTGGTGTTTGCCCAGCTGGAGGTTGGGATTCCGACTTGCAGGGGCCTTGGGAGTGGGCCAGGCAGTTAACCCATCTGCCTCTGCCCTTCAGATCAATGACGAGACCGAGCTGGAGGCCCTGTGTGCCGAGATCACCTCCCAGCACCTGGCCACGGAGAGCCCCGACAGTCCCAACAAGCCCTGCTGTCGGTTCACCTACCTGACCATGACAGGCGAGGAGGTGGAGCTGTGCAGCCGCGGCCGGCACGTCCCTGTGGCGTGAGTATGTGTGCATGGGGAGGGGACTGACCAAGCTGGCCGACCAGGGCATGACAGTTGTTGCCCTGGACTTGGGCAACAGCACAAGGGCTAGGTCAGGTGACAGGTGGCTTTCGCCAGTGGGGGTGGATAGGAGGCAGGACATGGGGCACCAAGAAAGATGGTGGGCCGTCTTCAGCAGAAGATTTTATTAGGAAAACACCAGCTCTGAGGTAGGTGACACCCAAAGGCAGGAGAGGGGTGCCCTGAGCTCCCAGGATTGGGAAGTCTGGGTAACTGGACACTGAGGAGCCCCCCGTCCGCCTCCTGCCTCACCTGCGTCGCCCTGGGCCCCACAGGTGGGAGAACAAGGACACCTACGCGGCCGCCATCCGGAGCCTGCGGCTGCAGGAGCTGCAGAATGACGAGTGCATGACAGCCGTGCGGGCAGGCCTGGGCTCCATCATCCCCCTGCAGCTGCTCACCACACTCAGCCCCCTGGAGATGGAGCTGCGGACCTGCGGCCTCCCCTACATCAACCTCGAGTTCCTGAAGGTCAGTGGCCCGTCATAGACCTTCCTGTGTCCCAGCTCGCCTGCCTCCAGAGCCCCGGCCTTCAGCCACCATCCTGAGGGGAACACCGTTCTTGCCAAGATCCCTCCGCTCCTCAGCCTGGCCTCTCTTGCCCTTGCCAAGTGACCTTGGCCAAGTGACTTTATGTCTAGTGGGAATGGTGACGGGACCTGCCCAGCGGGGTCAGAGGGGTAACGTTCACAGAGCCCCTGCTCAGGCCACAAGTCACACAAACGCTGATACAGTTACCTTCGCGGTCATTGTCCTCATCGTCATGTCCCTGTGTCCTGTGGCCATCATGTCCCTGCTGAACCCTGTCCTGGGATTGGGCCCGGCCTGGGGAGGCAGTGGGTTAGCAGCAGCCCGGACCCGCTCACGTCTGGGCCCCTTCTTCCCCAGGCCCACACCATGTACCAGGTGGGGCTGATGGAGACAGACCAGCACATCGAGTTCTTTTGGGGGGCGCTGGAGATGTTTGCCCAGGAGGAGCTGTGCAAGTTCATCAAGTTTGCCTGCAACCAGGAACGCATCCCGTTCACCTGCCCCTGCAAAGACGGGGGCCCCGACACAGCCCATGTGCCCCCGTATCCCATGAAGATTGCCCCCCCAGATGGCACAGCAGGTACTGCCCTCCCCGGTCACGTTCCAAGTGGGGACACATAGGTCCTTCTCTGTTTAGAGCTGGGCCCTGCATGAGGGAGGGACAACAATGGCCCAGCGACCCCAAAGGGAAAGGCGCCGGGGTCACATGCCTCCCCAACCTGACCTTCACCGCCTAGTAGCAGTACAGGCCCAATATTGACATATCCTCTGATATTTTTAAAAGCTAGAACTGAAGGGCCGGCCGAGTGGCTCAGTTGGTTAAGAGCTCGCTCAAGAGTTTGAGCTCTGAGCAACAGCGGTTTGAGTCCAGCCCGAACTGAGCAGCCG